AGGCATGTTGTACCTCAGTTCTTCAATCTGTAAAATTGAATAATGATAGATTCCTAGCCCATAAGATCATTACAAGAATTAAGGAGACAACACATCTACAACAGGTAAAATAGTAGCTGGCACAAAAATATTAGGACTATTAAAAATATCAGAGATTTTTAAAAAGGTTTCTCAAAAAGAATATCCAAGAACAGGAACTTAGATAATGGGAAGGCTGAAATAGATCTACTCTGTCCACTTTTGAGAAATTCCACATTGAAATCTAAAGTGATTTCTTGGACATGCCAAACTTCAACATTCAACTTTTCATTTGTAAGTTCATTTTCCCTAGTTTTCTTCTTATCTCATCACTTGTGTGATTTTTTTCTCTTAAATCTGGAAACTTGTATCTCATCCTATGTAATATCACCTGGATTCCAAAGAGAGAGCCTTGTCCTTTGGGGAAATCAAATGGCGAGACCCCAATTTTAGCTTTTCTACCCTTGGTTATAAAAATTTGGTAAAGACATTTTACCCTGGGAACTTCTATTTCCTTCCCTACAAAGCAAAAGACTTAAATTATCTTTTTTGGTTCCTTCCAGCTTTAAAATGTAATACCTTGGAACTTATTTATATGTTCTCCAACAGCATTGATAAAACAATCAATCTTACTGGACCACCATATACAGCTTTCTTCAAAGCTGCTCTCTTTGAATATATTTAACTTAGTTATCCAACTCCTATAACTTTTCATTTCACCCACAAATCCAAGTAATGTCACCAATACTTTGTTGAAGACATGGTCCTCCTAGCTACAATTCTTGCCTAAACTGTTCAATGAATGTTGAAAAGAAGTCTTTCTGAAAGAATTCACTCTCAGTGAACCCTTGCTGACTCCTAAAAATTGCCTGATTCATTTCTAAGTGTTTATATGTTCTCTCTTAGAAAATTCAGTGCTAGGAAAACATATCATGCTCGTTGACTTATACTTATTTTTGATTTATATTTTCTGAGTTTTCCCTTCTTCACCCCCTTTTATCCTCAGTCATCCTGTCATTGATTTCTCAATGACTGTTTATAACGATTCCATGATTTAACCTAAAATTTCTTCCAAAACTCCTTGCTAAAGACAAACACAATATGATTAGGAACTTTTCTTATGGTTTTTCTCCTACCTTAGTGTGAGTTAGCCTTTTCATACTACTTATATTACTATTTCTATGTTAGATTCATCCTTAATGGGGAGAATGAGAAAGCAAGAGGGTCTGAACAGTGACTTTCTTTTACTGATATAGAATCAACTTTCCTATCCATTAGTTCTATTTCTTCCTACACATCTTCTTCTGAAACATAATTTCAAAAGATAATGACAACAACAAAAAAATTGTTCCATTTCCACATTCTATGCTTTTGTGCCTCTCTTTCTCACAGGTTCATGCTGGTCTTTTATATTGTGCATGGGGATGACCCCAACATATCTACCATCTCCAGTCACTAGTTGTTTTCACAATCAAATGTCCCAGTGCAAGCCAACAACCCAGCATATTTTTTGGAGCTCTTATCCTCTATGTCTTGTTAAAACTATTCTGTATTATATGAATTATTTTTTAAATCTTCCTCTCTCTTATGCTATATTCGTTTTTAGAATCTGTGTCTATATGAAGCATATCTCTTCTTTTAAAATGCTTTTTTTCTAAAACAGCTATAACTAGATCCTGGTTTTCCTTCCTCCTCTCCTACTAATAATAACATGTTGGGTAACTTTCTTTCAAGATTTCACATTACTTCCCTATCATAAAATGATTCTTCCTTTACCATTCAAAGTAATGTCCAGTGTGTAGGAGTTTCCCTTATTTCTTCATGCTTTCTCAAAGAAACCATATGGACAGTAATGAATGTTTTAAATGCTCAACTTTTAGACAAATAGAACAGAGGACTCAGCTGACAACTGCCTGGATACCCCCTCCCAAACCTAATTTAAAATTTTACATTAAAAAGAAAGCTCCTACTAATAGCAGTTAAGCAATTTATGGTATGTATCATGACATTGCTCTCTTGTTCTTCCCATCTGCCTGTCTTTCTGGGCTTTAAGTCTCAGGTGATGGTCACACAGTGTAAGGACAAGAAGAAGTTGTAAAGGGGTGACCATGGTACTTGAAGTCAAAAGACTTGGTTTTATATCTTAATCTGCTTCCATATTCTAGCCAAACAACTATGAAATGTTTCCTCACCTTGTAGAACTCAGTTTTTACATATTAAAATAGAGATAATAATATCCACCACAAAGGGATGTTATAAATATCAAAGAAGACAATATATACACATACTCAATACATTGGTAACTGGTTTTACAACAGAACAAACACATTTTTAAAATGTATTAAACAAACTATGAACATTGTTCTTCTCTAGAAATCAGGTTGGTATAAGGTGAGGGAGGGGAAGGAAGGAAAGAAAAGACATTAATAATCTACTGCCTTCTACCTTCTGTAGTATTTATTTTTAAATTAATCATGTTTATTCTTATAATCTAAAGAAATTAATTTTAAAAGGAACAACTCACTATGATAAAAGTAGTTCTATGCTGCTTGGCTTGATTACTTATTTGTATTAAATGTATTTTTAATGTAAGTCTGAATATCATAACTTTGAACTATGTTATTGGCCCATGCTATTCATATAGGTGATCAAATTGAGATTATACATATTTATTAGAGTTCCATCTTAATGTTTTAATTCACCAAACATGTCTTCTTTTCCTAGAGTTGGTTGTAGTCTCCTCATTAAACACACATGCACAAAGTTATATATAACTTTCCTAATGATGGCAATGATTGCGGTTTTATTCTAGCCCACAGTCTTCCTATACAGGCTTCAGTTCATTGTGCACTTTTCCATGTTGTCATTATATCTCAAGTTCGTTGTCAAACTCATTTTCCTGTGTATTCTTCGTTGATTGTGAATTGTTCTTAGAAGTCCCAGAGAGGTAGACATGAAGCCATAGTATTCTAGCAGTCAAAAGACAAGAACATGTTTTCTTTATCAACTTCATTACTCCAGCCTTTCTGGGAGAAGAAAGTTCCAGCCATTTAGAATCTTTTCACTGTGGTTCCTACCTGTCAGAAAATAATGTCTCTGTGTATTTTATACTCTGTCTCCCTAAAAAGTTCAGTTCCTGATGAATATACTTCAAGATGAATAAAGTACCTATATTGCATTAAGAGATGGTCTCTCCAGTGCTACCAAGAGAGTCCATAATGAAGTCAAATCTCTGCACAGATAGGGCTTTATCACCAAGCCTGTCAAAGTGGCACATTAATCCAATGGCAACCAGGTACTCATTCTAGAATAAATGATAGTACTGTCTCAGTGCCACCTGCCACTTCAATCAGGCTGAGTAAACAAGTAATACTACTGTTTTCAAATGAGTCAGTATAGGTCATGTTTTCCCCCAGATTGTAAGAAAAGAATAAATACATGGCGTACTAGATTTCGTCCACCCATTCACCTCCATTCTCCCAAATTTTCCCATATTCTGAAATGCCAAATGCAAAAAAAAAAATATTTTGAATTCTAATTTTTCATTATGTTGTGTCAAGCTCTCAATTGTCTGGCTATTCAATCTGTGATTAAGTGAGAAATACCAGGATTTGAAAAGATACGGAAAACATTTTGATAGCTCTGGGCTATATCAAGTGTTAGTTTTAATAGCAGGCCAGATCTTCAATAACATGCTGTGTAGCTATGTATGAACTTGGTTGCTGGTTTCCTTTGTCACATGAAATGATGATTAATCAGGACTCAGATGTCAGTTGTTTTATGTTGCTTGTGCTCTTTGCTAACAGCTGCCTATTTCAAGCTGTGCTCCCTACATGTCAAATATAAATGTGAAACCACAATTTCCAGAAGGAAAATTTCAAAGCACTCATTTCAATGCACTTAAAGTACATTAAAATATTCAAGTTGTTCTGATTAACGTCCACTTAGAATATTATATATTTTAACTAAAGTAGGTATAGAAACAAAAGTTTTCAGAAGACTGGGAGAATAAAAACACATTATTATTTTGTATTCATAACTATATATTTCTATAAATGCTCTATGCAATCCTCCTCATTAAACTAGTGTCACTTTCCTTTTCATTTTTACAATTAATACATAAAAATACTGTTGACAGCTGATTTTTAAGATACTTAAATTTTGATTCAGAATAAGCTTTAAACATTTTTAAGAAGGAGGTTCATTTTTGACAATGTCCTCAGTGCTTCTTTGATTTATAATTTTGAAAATACTGTAAAAATAGCATATTTGTATGTTTTCCCTTCACATAGTCCAAACGGAATCAATTTTTAAGAAAATGAAAACAGAAGAAGTTGGTCAAGTTTTTCAAAAGTTTAGAACAGTGTATGCCTAAGTTTTTGAGTGGACCAAATAGAATTTCAGTAGAATTGATTTTTTTCTTTTGCTTAACCTAGATAATAAATGTCTAATTTGGACTGTCCATGTGGCACATAGTTCCCAAATTAAACTCTTTCAGAGACTGCCGTTTTTAGCAAAAGAGGGGGAAGTGAGAATTAAACACCCTGGCTCTTTCTATACAACTGCAGCCAAGTTGTCTAAAAACTGAATTTGGCCAATTCACTGTAGTTCATTGTTTGAGCTCTAGCAGGACCCCAGAAACTTATAACAACCACACTGAAGGCATCTGAACAGATTTTCCTAGTCTAGGGTTTACCATAGTCTAGAAAACTCTACCAGGTGGTGCCCTTCTCATTTAGTACTATGCACTTTCCCAGAGCAAGCACTACCTGCTTTGGATCACCTTCCTAATATCCAAGTAGAGTATCCAGGGAAGGGTCTGATATACTCTCAAGAACTGATTAAAAAAAAAAAAAAGTGTGCTGATCTAGAGATGAAAGGGTACTGGTCAAAGGCAAGGCAGGTGTTATCAGTTTTCATGTTCATTCATTTAATTTCCTCGAAGTTTTAAAGAAAGAACTCCCTCTCTCTCCTTCTCCCAGGTGGCAAACCTGCTGAGGCTCTTCCAGATCCCTCAGATAAGCTATGCGTCCACCAGTGCCAAACTCAGCGACAAATCACGCTATGATTACTTTGCCAGGACCGTGCCCCCCGACTTCTACCAAGCCAAAGCCATGGCCGAGATCTTGCGCTTCTTCAACTGGACCTACGTGTCTACTGTGGCCTCTGAGGGCGACTACGGAGAGACTGGGATTGAGGCCTTTGAGCAAGAAGCCCGCCTGCGCAATATCTGCATCGCGACCGCAGAGAAGGTGGGCCGCTCCAACATCCGCAAGTCCTATGACAGTGTGATACGCGAGCTGCTGCAGAAGCCCAATGCGCGAGTCGTGGTCCTCTTCATGCGCAGTGACGATTCACGCGAGCTCATTGCCGCAGCCAGCCGCGTCAATGCTTCCTTCACCTGGGTAGCCAGCGATGGCTGGGGCGCACAGGAAAGCATTGTCAAAGGCAGCGAGCATGTGGCATATGGTGCCATCACTCTGGAGTTGGCCTCGCATCCTGTCCGCCAGTTCGACCGCTATTTCCAGAGTCTCAACCCTTACAACAATCATCGCAACCCCTGGTTTCGGGACTTCTGGGAACAGAAGTTCCAGTGTAGCCTCCAGAACAAGAGAAACCACAGGCGGGTTTGCGACAAGCACCTGGCCATTGACAGCAGCAACTATGAGCAAGAATCCAAGATCATGTTTGTGGTGAATGCTGTCTATGCCATGGCCCATGCCCTGCACAAAATGCAGCGCACCCTCTGTCCTAACACTACCAAGCTCTGCGATGCAATGAAGATCCTGGATGGAAAGAAGCTGTACAAGGATTACTTGCTGAAAATCAATTTCACAGGTAAGCAAGGCACCTTTAATCATCTTCTATGGTGCAAACAGGTGGAATCATACAGGAACTAATACCTTTGTCCCCAACCAGAAATCCTTGTTTCAGAGCCACAAAAGTTCAAACTGTTGAACATATATTCAAGGTACAATATGAAGGCTTTTTGAGGTTTTTACTTATTTTTAAGTAATCTTAGTTGATTTAGTATATGAGAATCAAAGGCCCCCTAGACTGATGGCCCCACTGTGGTAGCTGCCCAGATGTGGGCCATGCTACATTTGCTCTTTCTCATTGTTAGCTGCAGGATATGACACATGTGACATGGCCATTTAATCTCCTTTAGCAGAATTGGCAGCTGTCTAAGGAACATGAACTTCCAAGCCTTCCTTGAGGGAGACTGAGCAAAAGAATCTCATAACTTTCACAGTGGGTGAGAGAGAAAAAAAGTCACTTTTCCCAATGCTTAATTAATGGCAAAACTGAAAAGATACCCAGAGATTGTAGTTTATTTCTTCTGTTATACAGAAAACTTTCCCTATAGGTTTTAAGAGTTGTGGTTTTTCTCGATTTATGGTGTTCAGTGAAACTTTTTCTGAGAGTTTTAATATATATAATCAAATTGAAGATTAATGGAAGTCATTTTGATCAGTAGTGACCATGCAAAGTACACTCTAAGACACTTTTGCTGCCTCTTCTTTTATTTCTAAATATGGTCTGAGTATTTCTAAATATAGTCATTTGTTTTGTTATCTATCTATCTATCTATCTATCTATTTATACTGGGGATTGAACACAGGGGTGCTTTACCACTGGGATACATCCCTAGACCTTTTTACTTTTTATTTTAAGACAGGGTCTTGCTAAGTTGTTTGGCCTCACTAAATTGCTGAGGCTGGCCTTGAATTTGTAATCCTCCAGCTTTAGCTTCCCAAATTGCTGAGATTACAGGCATGCACTACTCTGCCCAGCTGTATTTTATTTTAATGCATCTTTAACATGTAAAAGAAAAATCTTTAGGTTTGCATTCTGTACTAAGATATCGTTTCATTAAGGGACTAGTTCCGGGAACTCAGGCTTAATGCAAATCATAAAATGGTAATTAATATTAGACACAAACAAAAATGATACAATACTTGCGTTTGCCTAAATTGCTAATAATCTTTCATGCTTTAGGGCATCATTCAAGACTACATAGTCTTTATCAATTTATTTATCATCTAAGACCTGAAAATGTATACACATATATGTTACTATCATTGAAGCAAAACTGGAAGGTGTCACATCCATATTAAAGGTGGTGCCTCAGAAGTACAGTGGTCTGGGCTGGGGTTGTGGCTCTGCAGTAGAGTGCTTGCCTAGCATATGTGAGGTGCTGGGTTTAATCCTCAGCACCACATAAAAATACATAAATAAAATAAAGATATTATGTCCAACTACAACTAAAAATATAAAAATTTAAAAAAAATAAAGAAGTACAGTGGTCTGCAAAAATTGCTGGCAGTAGGCAAGAGAAGTCTGTGAACATTAGCTCCTATTCTGGAATTCTCACCCACAGGCAGCCTTGAAAATAAACACAAATAATGCCATCATGCATTTTTTTTGCATAACTTGTCTTCTTCACTCTCCCCAAAGGGAGACAAAAGCAATACAAATCCATACTGTCACTCTTTCCTCTTATTCATCTGATAGAAATAACCTCTTACCATTAGAATGATTATTAAAAGTTGTCGTAAATTTTTGCACTCTGCATTCCCACATGTGTATTGATTCATATAGAAACAATAACATATATACACATATAAATATAAATAGTACTAAATAAACATTCATCTCAAAATTCCAGATCACTTCTGATTGACATATCCAGAAGATAAATGAATCTTAGAGTCATTAAAAAAGAATTCCTTTACTCTAAAAGTAAATGAACTCTGGGTTATCCAAAATTAGCATCTACAATGCATTTAATTCTTAAGATAATTCAGTACATAACACCTTCAAACTACTCTTGAGATAACCATTTATCTTTATTCATCACATTTATTAATTAACTTTTTCTAGTTTGCTCATTAATCCTTTGATGAAAATAGACAAATATATCCACTTATCAACACGAAAGCTCAAGATTTCAGAGAGCCTTTGCAAGGTAATTTATGTAACCAAAACATTTTCCTTCATCTGACTGCTTGGGTTTTAAAAGCCAAAGAAAAGTGAAGAAATAATGCCATTATTAAGATAAATAAAACAAAAGTATCTTCTTTTTTGTCTGTCTTGTTCAATCACTAGCTCTAGTTCAACAACTCAGTTTGGCTATGCATACCTGACCACAAAGTGCTGCTTTAACCTTTTCAATTTGCCATACATTACCAGTCCCTCTCCATCTCTGAAGAGAGCAACAAGATGAAAAGCAGGTTAAAACTATAGAAAATAGAGGAAATGTATATCAGCTACAAGGTGAATATGTTTAGCAATGAGAATTAGACAAGATGATTCATAATTAATGGGAGGGTACCAAGATATTAAATTAGCTGAATAGTAGATTTTTTTCAAAAGATGAAGATTGACTGTAAGAACCTAGCACTTTACTAGGAGGTACATAAATAGAAGAGAATGGAGATCATAGTATGACAATTTGAGTTCATAGTAACCTGTATATGACTAAATATATACATATTTTTAATTTAGATATAGATTAAAGATTATAAGCATAAATGTCATATTACTGACTTATGATTGAAAAAGTATCAAGTTTCTTTACTTTGTCAACTATTGCAAAACAGGTGCTTGGCATTTTTTTATGATATGTTATCTCTATTTTTCTAACTTGAATATTGATGCAATGGACTAGGCACATAGTAAACACTTAACAGACACTAAATCTGCTCAGTTGGGCCAAAAAAAGTTCTTTCAGCCATCTGCCTGTTCCAAATGCATTTACTCCAAGATTCTTCTGAAAAGGGACAGTGGTAACCAATTCTCTAATAATTCTCACCTTTACAGGATGAAAAAGCTAGGCCTCCTGAGTATTTTAACCACAGAGTTTAAAATATGCTCTGATGTTTGGTGTTTTCTTACTAGGTAATACAAGCATTGGTCAACATGAGTTTTGTTTAAAGTTAACACAGTTTAAATATTCCTTTTGCAAAATAGATTTTGAAGAGCTATGCCTTATTAAATTTCTTCTAAATAGTGAGCTTTCTGACATGGATTGGATCCCATGTATACCCCACATTCACTCTTCTTTCCACTGAAACTACATGTAGTTCCCCCAGATATGTTTGTTATGCCTTTGTTTTGCCTTCCTACCATCTGAATATATCAGTTCTTCCACCTAGAACACTCTCGCCCTGCTCCCATCTGCCATATCTGCCTCTATTCTTATGTGTCTTCAATAGTCAATTTACTTGATATTTGCTAAGGAAACTTAACTTGAACTTCTAAACTGAATTAAGTGCCCCTCCTCATTTTCCAGCATTGTTCTGGCATTTTGCTTTCCCTCATACCTTCCATCCAATCTGCCAAAATATCCTGTTGGCTCCACCTTCAACATGGATCCAGGATCTGATCGCTTCTCATCATCACAATGGCTATGACCACCACCACGGTCCCAGCCACCAACACCTCTAGTCTACATTTCGGTATTATCCTTCCAATTAAGCCTACCTCCAACCAGCCTCCACAATCTATTCTCTACCTGACAGCCAGAATGCCCTTTAAAAATGTAAGGCACAGCAAGTCTCTCCTCTGCTCACACCCTCCAAGGAGTTCTCAGGCGTCACATGATCGGTCAGGCCTGAGAGGCCCTGCTGGACCTGCCCCCGCCCCTCAGCTCTGTTGGTGTCCCTCAAGCTCCCTCTTTCTCACTGCACACCATCAAGCACTGTTTGTACCCCAGGGCTTTTTTTTTTTTTTTTTTTCAGCCAGTTCTCTGACTATAGTGCTCTTCCCCACATATCCCTGGGCTAATCAGCTCCCTTGCTTGCCTCTTGTCTTTATTTATTTATTACCTCCTCTGCCGGAAAACTCCAGGGCGTCCCTCCCACCACAGTTGCCCCCTTTTCCCTTTAACCTGCTCTTCTTTCTTTTGATCTCATGGTTTTTTCATCTCCTGCTACACACATCATTTATTACTTTCGTGTTTATTCTTTATTGTTTGATCCTCACACTAGCATTTTGGCTTCAGGAAAACAGAAGTCATTACTGATTTTGTTCACTCGTGTGTTCCCAGCATAATAGGTGCTCAGTAAATATTTATTTACTATGAACAGCATTTCACAACCAAACTAGGATTTTCTTCTCATCTCTATTGCCAGAACTGTGAGCTCTTCCAAGGGACAGAACATATATATCATCTCTTATCTCAAATACCTAACAGTTTCGGGCATAGAAGAGGCATTATATAAATGTTTACTGAAGGAATGAGGAACGAAAAAAAATCAATCAACAGATTTATAAGGTGATTCTTTCATGAAAATTTAATGTATATGTTTTATTTATTAACAAGTGAATTTCAAGAAAGAAAAGTGTACTATATGACTTCTGAAATGGCTTGCTTTTACCTAAGCACTCTCCTTCAGCTATGTTCTATCGTTTCCTTTGAGATAAATGTAAAACCAAATACCATTAGAGCTTGAAGATATTCATCACCATCTTGTAGAGGCAACTCCCCAAAATGAAACCCATTTTCCTATGGTCATACATCTGGTTAGTGGCAGGGCCATGATTGAAATCTAGTTTACCAAATCTAGTGTTGCTTTTAGACATACACAAAGGCTCTGGGGATAGGATGTCTTTGATGTCAAACACTGAACTGAACACAACTTCTGGCACATACTAGATATTAAGGAAATGCTTATCAAAAGGTTTAAGATATGCTTCTTTTTGTGTTCCATTTTATTATCCCTTCAATGCTCCTGGGCCACTTGCTCAACTAATTGGAACAAAGTGGTGCATGCAACACTCGAACTTTGGAAGGTGGAACTTAAATCCCAAACCTTAGAATATGATGTTTGAAA